CTGAGTCAGCCACAGGGGTGATAAGCAAGGTATGGATCTCCTTCATGAACCTTGATTTGAAGGAATTTAAAAGAGTAAAAAACAACAACAAATAAGATCTATAAAGCAATATGTTAATTATTCTCTCTAATACTCAATATCCAGCCCAGCCTTACTCAAGAGTGTTACTCTCTGAGATGCTGACGATAGCACCGATTTTCAGGTCTTTGAGAAGAGTGGAGTCCATGGATTGCTTCTCATCACCCATGTACAGCAGTCCTGCTAAGATCTCCACTGGGTAAATCTTAAGGCTTTCCAGCTCCTGAGGTAGCCCACAGATATATACAATCAATTACAACAATTCTCCAAACTGCTTAGACTGGAGCCTATCTCAGCTGTTATGGGGCTAACAGAAATACTCAATGGTACCATCCACACTGAAGGCCAATTTATAATCACCGGTTAACATAACATGCATGTCTTTGGACCATGACAGGAAACTGGAGTACTTTGGGAAAAGGGTAAACATCCAGGTTAACCAGTAGGTGTCAAACAGGAAACTTATTGCATGCAAGGTGGCAGTGCAATAATTACCTGACACATTTTATATTTATTAGGCAGCAACTGGAATCAGTTCACTTTAGCTGGATATGTGGGAACACATACGAGTAAGAAACTGCCCTGTAGCCGCTAAACACTGGCCTTATGTTACCTTATATTGCAACATATGTAATTTGGCAATTAATGGAATGTTGATGGAAGATTTGTATAACTGGCTCCAGATAAGACAGCCCCCCCACACACACACATAATCTTAAATTGATGAAAAAAAGTGAGAAAAAAAAATGATGGCAGGAATGTTTGTGTTTTAGGAGAGTTCTACCATGATGGTGTTCAGGATTTTCTCAGTCCTCAAAAAAGGGTATTGAGCTGAGAATCTCTGAAAGCCTCCTCTCAATATCTTGACTGGATTGAGGCTAGCCTTAGCGAACACTTGGGCACATGAAGTTGCTCTGCCTGTAATCACAGGGAGAGAGCAACAATAAGCATTGCTTTTAAGGCTGAAATACAGCTTTTATTTATTTATTTTTGTTTGTTTGCAGGAAACCAGTTGTTTTCTTTTGGCACAACAATGCAAATAAAATGCATAAAAGTGGACTTGCTCTGAAGAAATCTCTCTTATATACCACTCTAACCTTGCTCCTGTAAAGAGCTTGTGTTGTTGTCGTAGACCACCACATGCCGCATACTTTCAACCTCCACCAGCTCTGGAAGAAGGAATGTCCCCTCTGAGTCCTTGAAAAAGTCAATTTGAAAGTTTTGGTACAGTCGTGTGC